TGAGGTGTATAGGTGACAGTTTTATGCCTTAAAATGCCATGTTCTTTACAGAAATTATCAAAGTCATAATTGCAAAACTCTAGCCCATTGTCTGTTCTTAATGTTTTGATTTTTAAATCAGTCTGATTTTCAATTTGGGTTTTCCAATCTCTAAAAACAATAAAAGTTTCATCTTTAGTTTTCAAAAGAAAAACCCATATTTTCTTTGAAAAATCATCCACAATCAGCAAGTAATATTTAAACCCAGACAAGGTAGATGTAGAAGCAGGCCCCCACAAATCAGCATGAACGTACTCAAGAATTTTCTTTGATTTAAAGGTACTCAGTGAGAATGGGAGTTTAGTTTGTTTGCCAATCAAACACTCTTCACAATTTGAAATTTCACCAATGTTTGATTTTCCAAAAACACCTTTAGCTTTAAGAGCATTCAAACCTTTTGTACCAATGTGACCAAGTCTACCATGCCATAATTTTGCTAGATTAAAATCATCATTTAAAACTGTATTAGACAGACCCATAAGAGGTTTAGCATTTAAGAAGTATAGACCATGTCTCTTTGGGATAGAAGTGACTAAATCACTTCCCCTAAAGATTTTTATTTGTCCTTGACCCAATTTTATGTCAAACTCCATATCATCTAACATTCCTAAGGAAATTAAGTTTCTTTCTAAATCTGGTACAAATCTAGTATTTTCTAAAAGTAAGATTCTGCCATTTTCTAAAAGAAGTTTTATGGTTCCAATGCCTTTAACTTTGCAAGTCATGTTGTTCCCCATGACAACTTGTCCTCCATTAGACTTTTCAAAATTTAGAAAGTAGTTTTTCTTAGGACACATGTGGAAAGAACATCCTGAATCTAGGATCCACTCTTGATTTAAGTTTCTTTCAACATTAACAAGGACTAAACCATTGTCAGATTGAAGTGTGTCGTATGACATAACAGTATTTCCTTCACTGACTTTCTTCTCTTTAGAGTCATTCTGTTTTTTATAGCAATCCTTAGCAAAGTGACCTAGTTTACCACAATAATAGCACTTTTTACCTTTTGCCTTATTCTGAGATCTAGCTTTATCAAAAAACTTCTTTTTAGGTTCATTAGAAAATTTTGAATGAAAGTTTGATTTACCAACAGTTTTACTTTTTATCAGTAAATTTTCACCATATTGTTTATTGGTAGACTCAGATTTCAGTTCAAGTACCCTATTTCTTAAAGCAGTTATTATAATATCAGTGGTGAGATTATCCCTACCATACTCTAAGGCATTTTTAAGGTCTTTGTGTCTGTCACTAATGGAGTTCAACAATACCACAGCCAACTGATCTTCTGACAATTCTTCATCACAGTTGGTGAGGTCTTGGGTCAGTTT